CCGGTGGGAGCACCACATGGCCCGGAGTTCCCAGTGGGGGGGGGGGTGGCGGGCCTGGTGGGTGATGGGTTTCCATCGCTTTCCAAGCCAGCTTGAATTGGCATTGTGAGTCCAGATGGCGTCTCAAAGGAGGCAGGCTGGGTCTGATGGGATTAGGGCCACGCTCGGGGTGGGGGGTGGGGGCTTCCACCCTCATCTGGAGGTCTCTCTCTCTCTCTCTCTCTGTGTGTGTGTGTGTGTGTGTGTGTGGAGGGGGTTTGGAGCCCAGCCTGGCTGGATTTGCACCAAGAGTGTGCAAGTGGGGGAGCAAAGCCAGCTCCCCAAACCCTGAGCGTGAGAACAGAAAACCACAACAATTCCAGGCTCACAGCCGAGGGAGGGGCAGGGTTGGCTCCCTTTGTGTTGTGACTCGGTGGCCACCCCCCCTGCCTCCCTGCCAGGGTTTCCGTGCCACCACTGCTTCCTTCCCTGCGCATGGGCCGTGGTGAGGCTCCGTTTCGTGGAGAGCAGAAAAACAGAAGAATAAAGCTGGAAGGGACCTCAGAGGTCTTCTAGTCCGACTCCCTTTGTGGAACCATAGTTAATCCAAACCCTGGGTTCTGGTTTTGCAGGCACAGCCTCCCACTCACCAGCTGGGTGTAAACTAACTTTGGGGGCCAAGGGGAAGTGAACTCTGCCCTTGTGGTTTGCCGCTCGTGGCTTGTCAACTCTTGGGGGTTTGACGAACAAAACACGGCTCAGCCCTGGCCTGGGAATTTATCCGCCTCCGCCAGCTGCTGCTCGCTTCCCCAAGTGTAAATCAGAATATTTGGGGATTCCTCTCAGTTTGGAAACCAACCTTGTCCCTTTTGTTGTGCTGCGATAACAAATCTTTCCTGTAAACCTTAGATAAGATTTATGTGAGTTTTGCGTGCATCGGAGTTCCCGGAATATTTCTGTCTGCTTAAATCTTTTAGAGGCAGCGCTAACTTTTGCTTTGAAGGATCAGTTTTCAAATGCTTTCCTTGCAGCTATTTTATTTGCTTAGAGATATTCTGTGGTTTAGTGGGGATTTTGAACCTTGGCTAATCAAGTAACCTCGATTCAGCATTCACACACACGTCCACAAACTCTTGTTTGGAAAGCGCCTTTCTCTTTGAGTTTGTTAGTAGGACAGGGAGTCCTTGAATTACAACCTCACCTTGTTCCTAAGTCACGAAAACAGAATATGCGAGTTGGAAAAGACCTTAGAGGTCTTCTAGTCCACCCCCCCCCCCCCCCCCCGCCTGGTATGAACCCATCCCACCTGGGGTACAACACAGATAAGAGTTGGGTCCCCCACTTGGCCTCTGCCTGAGCTGGACTTCGGGGTGTCCTCCAGGTTGCCACAAGGCAAGAACCGCGTGGGATTCACGGACAAGGATAGGGACTCATCCAGGGCTCCAGCGGGCTCCCTCCTTGGCCCCCTTTCCCTTTGGAAATGCAAGCAGGCCGAAGGGCAACTGGCGAAGCTCCTTTGCTGCAGGAGTGGTAGGCAGCTGGACGCCTTTTGTTGACCCAGGCTGCTCCCAGCGTGCCTTGCAAAGTGTGCCTTCTGTTGTGAAGCGTTGCTGCTGCTGCTGCTGCTGCGACGGGGAGGCAGGCAGGCGGGCGGAGGGGGGGGAGGCGCCTGAGCAGGGAGTGCCGCCGCGTCTCCGGGGCATTGCAAAAGCGGGCAGGCGAGCAACAAGCTCCCTCATGCGTGTGTGTCGCCAGGCGGCTTGGCGTGCGAAGCCTTGTGCGTGTCACATCAAGACAATAATCTCCTTTTCGGTTAAACAGCTTGGAACTCCTGCGCGATAGAAACAGGCCTGAACGGCTCGCTCGGCTTTCTGCAAAATCTTTTTTTTAAAAAAAAAATTGGCTTCTTTCTCCTGTTAGCTAATTTGGGTATTTTTTGAGCAGAAAATCCTGTCCGCGAGCATCGTAACCATGCGAGGCCCCGTTCCTCATTTTTTGCACAAGTCCTTGTGGATACGATTGTGATGTCTTCAGCAAAGGCCATTATTGTTGGCCTAAATTTGTCTTGTTTACAAACGGTGCTTTCTGCCTGTGTAAACATCCTGCTTGAGACATCATGAGGTCCAGAAACCTGGGTGGCTTTGTTATTTTTACCCTACTTTGCAAAGCCCAAGAATTCTTCCTTCTTTGCCAAGTTATTGCTGGATAACTTGGGTTATATGCATTGTTTCGGGGAGAGAAAGAGATAAGAGATAAAAAGATATGTGTTTTTGGAACATAACAAAAGCAGTTTTTTGGACCCTGGAATTCCCTTCCCTAGCTCTACCTTTGTAAACGATGAACACAACCCCAGAAGCTCTTCCAAAGCTCACTCTGGGTTCCTCCAAATGTCTTTAGTTTGTTATACTTCGTTCGTTTTATTTCTTATTTAGCTATTTGGGCACGTGTGCCGTGGTTTTCTGCTTGTTTGCTTCTATACAACCATTTACTCGACTTAAGTCAGCAAACAGAGGAAGGAAAACGTTAGCCACTCAGGTAGGAAGCAAACAGGTAGGAGCTGTGCTTTGTGTCCTTTCCACAGCCTCCTGAAGCTTCTAGTCCTCAGTGAGTTCACGAATCCCCTCCTTATCCAGAAATAACCGTCCTCATAATGTCCAAAAATCCTGTAACTTTCCATGAGTTCGATCATGACAGAATGTCGTAATAAAAAAAAGTTTATTGGTTTGATATCTGGGCCCTGCTGAAGTTTGCATCCTTGAGTTGCAAATGTGAAGTGATGAGCGTTACGCATCCCTTGGTGATGCGTAAATTTGGGGTACCCATTTGCCAATCCTTTCTCACCAGTTTGGATCCTGGAAGCAGGATGGAAAACCTGCCTGGTTTCATTTCAGGGTTGCATTTAGCCCGAATTCAACTCTCGCTTAGATGTGATGGTTGTATAATTAGTTTTTTCCCCCCTTTTGGTTATTTTGGGGTGGGGGAGAAAGCGATGCATAGGGGTTGCGACAAAGGAGAATATTCGGAATGAGTTTGGTGTTTTTTTTTGCAGACGTTTCATGACCCAACTAGGTGACATCATCAAGGCTAATAAGCTAGCTGGTTTTACTAATTTATTAGGGCTTGGTAGACTTCCTAGCAGTGATGATGTTCCTGAATTTGGGCCATGAGACCCCTGCAAGGAAGCCCCCCTGCAAGGAGGGCGCCAGGGATTGTGCAGCTCCAGGGCTGCTGGGCGTTGCGCTCCCCTGGCCCCTTAAGCGAGGGGCTGTCCAGCGGGGGTCTCTGGCGGGTGTGTGTGTGGGGGGGGGGAGTCAGCTGTATGGTAATCAGGGCAGGGGCGGGAGGGGCAGGGCTGCCTTGCGCCCGGGGCCTCCTCTCCCTTTGTCTCCGAGCCCTGCCTGCCTGACTGCCGGCCCCTCCTTTCTCTCCCCACCCCCCTCCCGCAGAGGCCTCCCCCGGCAGCCTTCGCACACCCCCAGAGCCCATCAGCCCCGGCATGACATCAGGAAACGGCAGTGCTGCCTCCTCCACCGTTCCCAGCGCCGTGCCCCAAAACGGGGAGAACAAGCTGCCCCCGCAAGCCATCGTGAAGCCCCAGATCCTGACCCACCTGATCGAGGGGTTCGTCATCCAGGAAGGGGCTGAACCGTTCCCGGTACGTCCGTCTCTCTCTCTCTCTCTCTCTCTCTCTCTCTCTGTCCTGCCCTGAAATGGGGGGGGGGGGGGTGTTTCTCCTGAGGGTGGGGTGGGGGGCTCTCTAAATCCCCGCCTTGCTCTTCCCTGGGCAGGTGGGCCGCTCCTCCCTGCTGGTGGGGAGCCTGAAGAAGAAGTATGCGCAGGCAGTCCTGGCAGAGAAGCCTCCGCTGCAAGAGACCACCACCGACTCCGAGATGGAAGACCCCTACCTTCAAGGTGGGTCTGGGCCCAGGCGGGGAGATGGGGACTCTGAGCATGCGCAGAGCGCCTCTCCGGTGTCCTTGGAGGGCCTGGGGGGCGAGGTCAGGCAGGGGAGGGAAACCCCCCCCCCTTTTTTTTCACCAACTCTCAGATGGAGAGGGTGAGTCCTGGGGAAAGAAGGGGAGAGGGACTCTGAGCATGCGCAGAAAGCCTCTCGGCTGGACACGGGGTGATGCCTCTGGAGGGGTCGGGCAGGAGAAGGAAAACCTTTTGTTACAAGGGCCCCAATCCCCATTTCCTGCACCCGCCAACTTAACTTCTCCAGAGGCTTTTAACTGCACATGAATTCTAGAGCTGAGGGTCACTTCTAAAATTGGGGGTTCCAGGGGTGTCCCCGTGTTGCCCCCCGCCGTTCCTTCCTTTCTCCTGGAGGGGCCTGCCGCAAGGCCGCCTTCTTCCCTGGCCTGGCCTGAAATATGTTGCTCTCTCCTCCCGCAGAATCCAAAGACGAGGCGTCTCCCCCAAAACTGAAATGCGAGCTTTGCGGCCGCCTCGACTTTGCGTACAAATTCAAGCGTTCGAAGCGTTTCTGTTCCATGGCGTGTGCGAAGAGGTACCTCCGGACCCCAAGGCCCGTGGGAGGTTGGGCCCCTTGGACTGTCTGCAGTCGCAAGGCAAACCCTAAACCAGGTTTAACTCTGGGAAGGGCAGCCTTACTATTGCGATTGGCGGCAGAGATTCGGCAATTGACTGACGGGGATTTTGTCAATGCTGACAGTCATTCAAGGGCAGCTCCAGATGTTCTGGGGTTGCACCTGACGGAGTCCTCGACTTACAGTAACAATGGAGCCCCAAATTTCTTGTTTGCTAAGTGCGATATTTAGGTCAGTTTTGCCCCATTCTACGACCACCTGTTGATAAGTGAATCACTGCAGTTGTTAGTCACGCGTTTGTGAAGTGAATCTGGTTCTCCCCGTTGACTTCGCTGGTCAGAAGGTCACCAAAGGGGTTCAGGACACTGTGACCATCATAAATATGAGTCAGTTGCCAATCACCCTTTGGATCACGTGACTGTACGACGGTCGTAAGGGTGAAAAACGGTCCTAAGTCACTTTTTTCACTGCCGTTTTAAGTTTGAACAGTCCCTAAACTCACCCTTGTAACTGAAGGATTACCGGCAATTATCAGATTTATTTCCTACCCACCTCTCGGTTTGAGTTGACTCGTCCTTCCTCTCTTGGACACGTCACCCAGAATGTCCGGACATCCGTAGGGAGCGAAGTTGGGTTTTCCTGGCCCGTCCGGGGCCACCCGGCTCTCCAAGCTAAGCAGGGTCGCACCCGGCTTCGATTCGGATGGGAGACTCGGCCTTCCTTCTCCTCAGCGCCGTATTAACCTCTCTGTCCCCCTCCCCCCCCCCCGCAGGTATAACGTGGGTTGCACCAAGCGAGTGGGACTCTTCCATCCGGACCGCAGCAAGCTGCAGAAACCGAACCCGTCCGCGCACTGCAGACGCCGACCCTGCAAGGGGGCCCTTCCCCCGCTCACGAAAGAAAGCAAAAAAACGGTTAGCCTGGAGGGGGGGGATGGGCGGGACCTTTGGGGTGTTTTCTTCAGAAAGGGAAATTCAGGCGATTATGGCTCTGTCCTTTTCGGTCTAATAGGTAGTCCTCGATTTACAACTGTTTAGCGACCTCTTGAAGTTACAACGGCACTGAAGAAAGTGACTTACAACCGTTTTTCACACATGCAGCCCCTCCTTGGTCACATGATCAAGATTTGCACACTTGGTGTCTAATTCGCTTAACCGTGTTACTAATTCAACACAGTTTCGGTGATTCCCTTAACAAACATGGCAAGGAAAGTCGTAAAATGGGGCAAAATGCAAATTTCTCCCTTAACAACATAAATTTTGAGCTCCGTTGTGGTCGTACGTTGAGGACTACCTGTCATTCCGTCCAGAGGGCGTAGTTCTGGGCTAGAAGGGGTGTGTGGAGGCAGCTCTTGTCAATGTGGCTTGTTATCCCGTTTGGGCCCGTAGGCACCGGCCTCCTTGCCCCCCAGTTCTGCCCCCATGGCGGTGCCCAGCTCTCTCCAGCTCAGCCACGGACAGGAGGACTCCAGCCGCTGCTCGGACAACTCCAGCTACGAGGAACCTCTTTCCCCCATCTCGGCCAGCTCGTCCGCCTCCCGCCGGCGCCAGGGCGAGCGAGACATGGAACTGCCGGATGTCCACCTGCGGGATCTGGTGGGCATGGAGCGCCACTTCCTGCCGAGCGAGCCTACCAAGTGGAATGTGGAGGACGTGTACGAATTCATCCACTCCCTGCCCGGTAAGCGTCTGCCGCTAAGCGACGGGCCAACCTCGGCCCAAGAGGAGGAGCCCCATCTCCTTGCCCCATGTTGGGCTACTTAATGGCCTGTGAGATATCCTCTCCCCCAACGAAAAGGGGGATTGAAGGACTTTCAGAGAACGCTAGAAGTTAAACGAGTGCCACAAACTCAAACTATAACCCTGCCTCAGTTTCGTTAGGCAGAGCCATAGCCATAGCCCTTAGACTTATAGACCGCTTCACGATGTTTTCCAGCCCTCTCTAAGCGGTTTCCAGAGTCAGCCTCTGGACAATTTTGGGTCCTCATTTTACCCACCTCGGAAGGACGGCAGGCTGAGTCAACTTTGAGCCTGGTGAGATTCGAACTGCCAAATTGCAGGCAGCCGCCAGTCACAGAAGTAGCCCTGCAGTACCGCACTCTAACCACTGCGCCACATCAATCTTTCGTACCCCCTGTCGTTCCTTTTATGTCAGGGAATCTGCCCGTCCTCCAGGTTGGGTCACGGGGGGTTGTGGAGTTGGGGGTGCTGGAGAGTCTCTTGAGCTGATGGGTTTGGGTCTCCCCGCCTTGCAGGCTGCCAAGAGATCGCCGACGAGTTCCGTGCCCAGGAGATCGATGGCCAGGCGCTGCTGCTGCTGAAGGAAGACCACCTCATGAGTGCCATGAACATCAAACTGGGGCCAGCCCTGAAGATTTACGCCCGCATCTGCATGCTGAGGGACTCCTAGGAGCCAGGGCTGGTGCTGGGCCACGGTGGACGGACGATGAGCGTGGGGGAGGGAGGGGAGGGCTCAGGTGGATCAGGCCCTTGGGCCAGGACTCCCTCTTCTCCCCAGGTCACTTGAGCACAAAGAGCCCCCGCTGACGGAGGGGAAGGGGAGAAGAGGCAGACCCCCATCTTGGTGGCCTGATGCCCTGAGGGCAGGGCTGTGGGGCCGTGTACATACGACGACGATGAGGACGACGACGTAGTAGTCTGTAGCTCCCCCGCCTGCTCCTCCCCCTGCCCCAGGAGGGGAGGAAAGTGGTGCCCCTTGGACAGAGGAGAAGAGCCACCAGGCCCTCTTTGGCCCCCACCCCCCACCCCCATTTTGCATTGGACAAAGCCTCTCGGGAACCTCAAAGCCAAACAGGACCGTTGCCTTAAACTTTTGTGTAGCTAAGTGTGTGTGTGTGTGTGTGTGATATTGGTGCCACATAGTGCACTTCCCCATCTCTCTGGCCCCACCCAGCCCCCTGCAACTCCTTCGGGCTCACCGGGGCCCCCACCGTCCTTCCTAGGCAGAAACGGCACCTCGCCAGAAATCCAGACAAGGCTCCCCTCCTCGTTGTCACGCGTCTTTTCTTTCTGCCGTCCCTCCTTTTTTTTTGACCCCCCCCCTCCCTTTTTGAAATGGGGGGCGGCCCGGTTGGGGCCCCCAAACGGGGGCTGTCCCCCCCCCAAAAAAAATCCGCTTGGGAGGCGATTCCATTGATCTGAAAAAAAAAAAAGTTTCCCGGCTGCCTTAAGAAACATTTTGTGTTTGTTACGAGCGTCAATTCACACACACACACCCCCGTTTGGAGAAACGCAGCCCACCAGGGAGGGCAGGAGGGGCTGGTTTTCTCTCTGGAAGATGGGGCAGGCCTCAGGGGTGTCCGGAGTGGGTGGACTCGCCCCGGGCAATCAGGGACGGAAAGGGGCGCAAGCGGGAGTGCAGCTGAGCTGTGTCCCTCTGTGGTCGCCAGGTTGCAATGCCTCGTTTTCCCGTGTGCTGGACACGCCCCAAAGCCTCCCGGGCTGCAGGAAAAGGACTTTCTCTGGATTCTTCCAACACCTGGTTTTTAATAAACATCTTTGGGAAAAAAACAAAGTGTCTTAAAAATGATGGTCGGCTGAGCCTCGAGGGCTGAAAATATCCAAAATAGCACAAAATAGGTTGTAAAAATCGGGTCGCTCACAGGGGTGACTTACTTCACGATTTATGCCTGTAACGGGGAAGCTCCATTACGGTCGTAAGTGGAGGATTACCTGCAATTCCTTTGGTCTGACGGGCATCATGGTGGCACAGGCGCTGTTGGCCGCTTCAAGGTTTCGGTAGCTGAACCTTCTGTGTGCGAATGCAGGCATTGGCCTTGGGGGGGGGCTTCCTTGGGTCGCACCCCCCCCCTTCCTAGGCGCAAGAACAGCCTCCCAGCTTCAACCACGAAAAGGAGACCAACCTACGCCAAGTCCAGCCCAAGATTGAAAAGACATTTTATTATTTGCTTTCCACAACAGAGAATACAAAGCAACTTTTAAAAAGTGATCATTTCTCATATATTGGTAATATTTTTTAATTTTCTTAAACGATGCAAACAGTTGCCCGGGACAAGGGAGAGTCTCTGCTCTTTCCACAACATGAAAGTTTTAGAAATTGGGAGGAAGGATGTTCCCTCTTTATATATTTTTTAAAAAATTCCTTTCCCTCCCCCCCCCCCCACCCCCATTAACAAGGGCACTAGCTAGATGCTTCCTGGGCTTTTATATAGAAAAAAAAAAGATGTTAACAATATGTATAAGAGTCTTATTTACAGAGTTATTAACATGCCAAAAAAAAAAAAAAGAGGATACAATATTGAATATCATACAACATCAATTCAAAACCGAGAAAGAAAAGTATTTTTTTAAAAGGAGGGAAAGGACCAAATCCGTATAAACGGCAAGAAACAACTTGCTTAAAAAAAACAGCGATTCTTTAAGGCGTAAAAATATTTTTCCTTTTTTTAAAAAGAAAGTTAAAATCTTTCAACAAAAAAAAATAACAGGGAACGCAAAGGGGGTATTAGAGAGGTGGATTTTCAGTTGTGTTGGTGGGGCTGGAGCGGAGGCCACAAACATTTTGAGGTGTGACTGAAAACCAGGCAAGAGAGCCAAGTTGCATCTGGGTCTGCCTGCAAGGGGTGGCAGAGGCAACCGTCGGTCTGGGCGTATGGTGTACTTTCCGAAGGATGGAAGCAAAACTCAGCCAGGGATGAGCAATGGCATTTTTTAAATTATTATTATTTTTGAGGAGGGGATTGAAAAGGCAGCCTCCGGCTATTTTCCTTGGAACCGTGCCTCCCCCAAGGCAAAAACCAAGCCAGAAACAAGGAGAGGAGATACGGAAGACAGGTGGACTTCAACTCCGTCCATTCCCTGGCGTTCTTTTTCACGTGCTTTGTGTCCTGCTTACTCTCTTAGAGTCCCTTCCTCTGCAATCTCTCTGCTCTGGGAGGAGATGGGAGAAAAAGGAAACGGGGCTAGTCGGGGAATTTGGGGGAGTCGAAGTCCTCAGGTCTTCAAGTTGAGAAAGACCTGCCCTCCAGACTTTGGGTGGGTTCGGGATGCCGGCAGGCTGGGAATGGTGTCAACCAAAGTCCTGCCTGAAAATTGATGGGGGGGTTGTTGCTTTTTTTGGTCTGATGCAAGCGATGCCTCTTACAAGCTCATGTGGTTATGCCAGAGCCCACTTGCATGTGGAAGGCAGGCCGGCCCCGATTGCTATCGGGTGATCCAGGCCTACGAGGGGTGGGGATGACTCCTTAGGTTGTCCCTGACCTTTGACTGGTCGCTGAGTGAACAGTGGGGTTGCTATAACAGCGGCGTACACTTAATGAGTACAGTGTTCGTTTCCTAAGACCATGCGTGCTTAGCAACCACCATGAAAAAGATTGCAAGATTGGGCGGGTCCTGTGAGGGACCCATTTTACGACTGTTACACAACAAGTGTGTTGGGCAGGTTCCACCACAGTTGTAAGGACTAACCAGTAGGCCTGAGATGGAAAAGCTGCATAACCTCTCTCTGCCTGGGGAAGACCCCTTCTAAGGCTCCTGGATGACCCCCCCCCCCCCCCTCTCCGGTAAGATAAATGGGTTCCCTGCAAGTGGCTTCTTCTCATCTTCCGTCCCTCACGTGCCAACCAGGAGGAGCGTAGCAGCGTCCGTTGATGCGTCTTTGGGTCTAGAGATGAATTGGGGCGACCACAAAGTGGGAGACTTGATGATTGGGGGGGGGGAGAAATGGCAAAGCAAGGGACCCTGCTGTCCTCCCCCTCAAAGACTCACTTGCCCAGGTTGCACGCCCATCGACCAAAGACAGTGGGAATGTAACATCCCAACCACCTAGTTGGAGCTTGGGCATGGCTAAAACACGTGCATGGAGGCAACCGCCCCCAAGTGCACGTCCCCTGGAGCTGGGCCCTCTCTTCTGCTGCCAGCACAGGTGCCAACCTTGTCTCCCCTACATGACGGCTCTCGTCCAACGGTTGCTCTCGTCCCAACAGGCCACCAGGGTGTCAAACCCGTGTCTGATGCAGCGGACGTTCCTGACGTACTCTGACAAGTGCTCTGGTTCTGTTGTCTCCCGCCCCCTCCCCCTCCCCCCCCCGTGCCCCAGTGCATACAGGATTTTCCCCACTGAGTTTTGCAAACTTCCCCAAACTTTCCCCCTCTCGAAAAGGACCAGCGGTTGGTTCCGTTTTCCGCCCATGAATTCTCCCTGACGCTGAGCCAGCCGTGAGTGGATCTAGGCTTACGACATTTGGCGTGCAGCCTTGTTGCGTCCGCCAGACTGTGCCTCTCTTGACGCTTCCGGGGTGTCGGGTCTCCTTCCAATTTAGCACCAAAATACTTCGCGGTACTGTCCTTGTCCAAGAAGACCGACAATGGCTTCAGGGTGGAGTCCAGAGAATTGTGTGCTCCGTTGTGAGAGAGGGCTCCGAAGTCTGCGCCAATGTTTTCTTTTGGGGGAGGGAGAGAGGAGGGGGAGGGGGGGAAAATGATCCGAATTGAGAAAAGGGAGGGAACACAGGAAAAAAACAGGACACTGCAATCCCAGAAAACGGGGCTCCTGGAGAAGCGAGGAAGGGAGGGTGAAAGTGCTGTGGAATCGTCTTTGGTTGTCCCCAACATCGACGAGGACACGTCCCCTCCACAAACAGAGTCCAGGCCCGAGGCTGCTCGGGGGTGAGGGAGGGGCGGGGTGGGGGGCAGAGGGGAGTATGGGGGCGGGGGTCTCTTGGTCCTCCTGAGCACAGTGTGCTGTACACTGTCAAGAAATCTGAGTAAACGGCCCAGGGGGAGCCCTGCGGCCGTTTTGCATAATCCGAAGGTCTGTCCGTCCTGCTCCCTCCTTTTCTCGTTTCGGGCGTTTGCGAAGGTCCGTCACAAATGGGGGGAGGGGCGGCTGCGGCTGCTTCTCTGCGTCTCAGATGAGGGATATCCGAACGGGGATGCCGGGGGACTCCGTCCTCTGGGGCGAGTGCTGGTTCACCAGGTGCTCCACCACCGTGTGTTTCGACATGTGCTTCATCAGATACGTCTCCTGCGGAAAGAGGCGGCAGGCACACAAGTCAGCCTCCGCTTGGGTCTGTTTAACGGCCACTGGGAAAAAGGGACCGTTTTCACCCTTACAACCCTTGGGGCACCCCAGCAGTCACTGGGTCAACGCTTGGGACACTTGGCAACTGGCATGCACTTGCGACTGTTGCAGTGTCCTGGGGCCACGTGAGCCCCTTTTGCAGCCTTCTGACGGGCAGAGCCAATGAGGAGGCCCGATCCACTTAGTGGTGCTACAAACCGCAGTGACTCACTTAACAAATGTGGCAAGAAAGGGGCACAAAACCATCACTTCGCAATGTTTGCTTTAGCAGTGGAAACTCTGGGGGAATCGCCCTCCAAACCTCGGCCCCTTCCCGTCTGGTGCCTGGCAGCCCCACCCCAAGTTTAAGGGCGGCGCTCTGGGCAGCCGTGACTTAGCCCCCCCCTGGGGGTTTGGGGTTCGCCAACTCTCTTGCTCCCCACGACGTCCGCAGCCTGGCTGAGAGGGGCTCACTTACTGACGTATACGCTCGTCCGCACATGCTGCAGCAGTAGGCCTTGGCGTGCTTGATTGCGTGCGCCGAGAGGTGGATCTGGAGCGAAGCCGAATCCGAGTACGCCCGGTAGCAGTTGGGACACTTGTAGGGTTTGTCTTTGTTATGCTGCCGTTGGTGGGACTGCGGGGAGTGGAAAGGGGGAGGAGTCGGGGTGATCCCAAGGCCCCCCTCGGCCCCTGGAGGCAGCCAGACGCCAGGGCCAGTGGCAGTCTACCAGGAAGCCTCCCGTGCGCTTCTTCCCGCCTCCCCCCAACCTGAACAAGAGGCGGGACATTTTGATACACAACCGTCCGTTCAGTTATTGTTCCAATTTACAACGGTGCTGAAAAGGGGGACTGAGGGCCGTTTCCCCCGCTAACGACCGTTG